TCTCTCTCTCTCTCTCTCTCTCTTGCGCGCGCGCGCAAAGCAAAGCATTTGATCAAATTCTTGTTTGTACATTAAAATTTTTTTTACATTTAGGTTCTGTCTCTCAAAAACTGTCCTGGTCCTGTCTAATGGTTCCTGAAAACATACCACTGAATTGAACGTTTACTTGTAATTGACATATTTAATGATTCAAGCGCAAAAAAAGTGTCATTTGAAGGTTGTAATTTATTATGGTTATTTTTTTATTTTCACACCAGTTTAGGAATACTGGTAATATAATTAACTGATTAATCATTGGACACGCATGTAAAGCATATATCCCCTTGAAGAACGAGAAGCTTCTTTGTTTCACATGCCACCTTTAAAAAACTACTTGGCTCATTTTAATCGATTGGTTTGAATTCAGAAATTCACATTTTTAATATTATAGCTCTAAAAAGAATGGGATTTTTAGGGAGGAGTTCCGCAGAGGGTCGGTACTTAGCATGACAAGGGCAACTGAACACTATTAAACGGGGGCTTAAGTTGCATCATTATATGGACATTATTCAACTCATAAAGACTATAAAATTAAAATATCCATCGATGAGTCAGGTTTCACCGTGAAATGTCGGATATCTACACCCTAAGTGATTAAAAGGTGGACTCAATGTAAGGTTTATACATTTCCTTGAAGAACAAAACTTTCTTTCTGTCACATTCTGCATGTTTTACTACTTAGCTCATGTAAATAGAATGTGCTGCATTTAAATAATCACGTATCAAATAATTTAGATGCTCCAACATGAATGTGCCTTAACTCAAAATTTATATATATCTAGTAATTCAAACTGATTTAACATGAAATAGTTTTTCAGTTTACTGTCACTCATCGGACTTTTCGCAAGAAGGTGCTGGTGTTATCAGTAAGTCTACCACAGAAGGTAGAAGGTCAAATAAACAGCTGGTAGAGTTTTTTAAATCCATTTTTGAGTATACATTTTGCAGCCTCGTTGTAACAGTAATGGCAGTGCAGCACCAACAAGCTGCAAAGAACAAGCTAGTATGCAAAATTCACTTCCAACATTCAAGCACAAAATCATTAGGCAGCTCTTCCCACCCAATTCTACTTCTGTCACCCCTTCCCCCTTTAAAAGACCCCTACCTACACTGCTGTGGCTTTGTAAAGATAGGTTGATAGGGAGCTAGGTGGATAGGTTGGGTT